CCCTGATCCGCCACTGTCATTGTTTTTTTTATTATGCATGGCACTGCCTTAAAATATCCAAAAATAAGACGTATATCTCTTCCTAATTATATAAATTTAAAGCATTTAACCATCCCAATACTGTTTACATTCACCAATAAATTATATTTTTATTTTCTCCTCCTTCTGGATGTTTTTGGCAAAACTATTTCCTGTATAAACAACAAAATTTTATTTCAATTTTGTTTCCGCCCTCCTCTGACAAACTTTAAAAAAAGAAGTTAGCAAAACAAGGTATAAAAAGTCTCACCTAATGGAAGTGTACCTTAAATTTAATTTATATGGTTAATTCGGGCCCAGTATCAAGCTAGTATAGAGTGGCCTTATAGTTTAGTACCTAGCCACAGAATGGTACATCTGATGTTCTTGCAGTGGTGGTGCCGCAGTGGTGGGAATTTTTCTCGTCGGGCATGGACGAGGTCGTCAAAATAAAAACATTAACTTGCTGATTCAAACAAAGCTATTGTGATTGCCAATCCATATATAATGGTCTAAAAGCACAATTTTTTTGGTCATCCTAGACCATAAACTCTATCCCCCATGAACCCCACAGGGGAATTTATTACAGGACCCTTTTCAGGGCTCTAGACAGCCCCTTTTATATAATATTTTATATGAAGAAAAACATTGTAAACATATTTTTTAACTTCACTGGCGATAACTTTGCTTTATTAATTGATCGGCCAAGTACTTAATGTAGGCGTCGTTTGAAGGTCAAAGTAATTGTCATCACTTCAGAATTTAATCAGGATATATATAATATGATAATTGAGAAAACTGGAAGCTAAAGATTTTCATGTCCGAACCATCTCAACTTAAAGAGGCAGCCTAGCAAGTTTGTCAAGACTTATAATTCTACGCTTGTGGAGAATTTAACAAATCGAAGCTATTCTGTCTTGTTTGTTGGCTGTCAAACATTACATGGCCTCACCTACATCTACAGTTTCAGTGGCGGTGGGGGGGAGAAAGCCGGCCTGGACCCCTCTAATTTTTTTTCAAAATTATAAAAAAGTGGAGAGAAAAAAAAAAATTATACTAAAATTTACTGTAAGTCTGAGAGTGCCTTTTCTGGCCATCTAGAGGTGCCGTTAAAAGCGTACATTTTCTTACCTTACCCCCTAACCAAGGTGGGGCTGAGGTGGTCTAGATCTTCTATCTGTGAAAGGCCCTCCCTGGGGCCCCTTCATTTTGAATTCCTGATTCCACCACCACAGAGTATTAAACACCCCCACTGAATACATAGTGATTATGTAACAGTATCTTTAAGTAAATTTTCTAGGCTAAGAGATATTTAGCCTGGGCCATTTCTGTGGCTATGACTAGACCAAAAGGAAGTAACAGATTTTTTTAGTTCACAATTTTGAATACAATGGGGATTGATGCCAGACGACAATTGCATAAGTGCGCAATTGAAGCGGACAGCGACGGTTTTTAAGTTTTCCAAGAGATGTCATTACACTCTCTGATCCATATGCTAAGATAACATTTCCGATAGGAAGAAATCAGATAAGTTTCTTATTTTAAAGACAATTAAATACTGTATGATTAC